AATCACTCAGGGGTCAGGGTTACGTCGTTCACTGAGTGATTCGTTCACAGAGTGATTCGTCCCGCTGTAGGCAGTCCCTCCCTGCACCCTGGCTGCCTCGCAACTCAAGAGTGATTAATCGTTCGCAAGGACCGAATCGGCAGTTCCACTCCTGGCCTGCACGCTCGCTGCTGAGCTCAACTGAACTGAGAAATGACAAATCAGTTCCAGAAGTGATTCAGTTCAGTACGTTCACTCAACAGATTTGTTCTTTTGAACGATTCGTTCGCGAACGACACAACACTAACTCAGATATACCGACGGCGGGTTATTTTGGCGGGTTACTCCATGGTTACGTTGTGCAACTTGTGAACAGACGGGACCCACCTGTCACTCAAAGTGGCCAAACCCTTAATTATGTGTAATTTTAAGCCTTAATAAAATGTAAACAGGTGAGTTATGTTAAATTCACCACAGCACAGATGACATGAATGTTGACATTAGCTACAGGGACCAGGCCAGGCAGCAAACATGTTGATTTCTGCTGTAAGGTTTGGCATTTTCACATCGAGGTCTGTGGGAATTGACTCGCTCTTGGAGCCAGCCTCAAGTGGACATTAGAGGAACTGCAGTTTTTAGCACTCCAGCATCGCCTTCATTTTTCAGCCTCTGAGGTTGCAGCTTGTTTTGCACTCAAAAAAATATGAAAATATGCATCACAACAGGTGGATGGAAACACCTTCACAGAGGGTTGTGTCAGCTCTGGTGGTGCAAATATCTGTCAGTTATTTTATTTTTGGTATCTATCGGAGTTGTTGTTTAACTGGGCCTGATCAATGCAGTCTTGTAGTTTGTGTTTAGAGGCTTTGAATGTTTAGAACAAATGTGTCTGTACGGTATCCTGCAGGTTCCAGACGTATGCACCACTGACAGCTGTATCCAGGGTTAGAAAAACATGTGAGCCAACCAAGACTCCCACATTCTAAGATTCTGAACTGATTTATTTTGAAACCAGTAACACCAACAACTAAATGCATGAAGGAAAAACTTTACAGGTGTGACACCAGCTGCAGATGGAGCACTTCATTTCATGTTACACTGCAGACACGGCTGAAGGAATTTATTTTTACAGTGCATAAAATTAGATTATTTTCTGTTTGGTAACCCCGCAGAGAGACGTCATGGATCCCAGTTTGGGAATTTGGACTGAAGCTGGCGCGCTGACCTCAGCCTCTCACAGATTATTTTCTGTTTCGCCAAATTTCTCTTCCTCCTTGGATGATTCTCCGGCTTCTTTTTTTGGCTAAATTTTTTGCCTTGCTCTGGCACGTTTTCTGTGAGTCAGTGTGTTTCAGTGTCCAGGCTTCTGTTTGGTTCAGTCTGTCAGTGTGTGTTTGGTGATGTGTCACTAATAAAACTGTGTGATGATGTGAAACTTCTTTGTGGTTTCTGGACTTTATAAATACTGTCTCGCTGTCTCTCTCTTTGCATTATCTCATCTGTCTCACCCCAACTCCTCTCCAGTGTAATCTAATTACTAACTACTACAGGAAATGACCTCATGTGGACTCTGACAGGATTTAAGTTTCCATTACAACATGACTGAGGGACTGCACGTACAGTATAAAGTGTTACTACTGACTCAGTCCAATAAAGTGAAACTCTTTCATTGAGTTCTTTGCAATTATTTATTTATACCTCAAAGAATTTAACTAGAATTAATTTAAAGATATAATATATAACTTTTTCACATTAAACTGTCCAAAATGCATAATTTGCAATTTTGTATTTGCACAAATGAACAGTTTCAGACTTGACCAGTGACACCTAACCCATTAATTAATTCATTTCTGTAACTGCTTATCCTGTTAAGGGTAGCAGGGGGCTGGAGCCTATCCCAGCTGACACTGGGTGAGAGGCAGGGTTCACCCTGGACAGGTCACCAGACTATCACAGGGCTGACACATAGAGACAGACAACCACTCACACTCACATTCACATCTACGGACAATTTAGAGTCACCAATTAACCTGCATGTCTTTGGACTGTGGGAGGAAGCTGGAGCACCTGGAGGAAACCCACGCTGACACTGGGAGAACATGTCGGAGCACCTGGAGGAAACCCACGCTGACACGGGGAGAACATGTCAGAGCACCTGGAGGAAACCCACGCTGACACGGGGAGAACATGTCAGAGCACCTGGAGGAAACCCACGCTGACACGGGGAGAACATGTCGGAGCACCTGGAGGAAACCCACGCTGACACGGGGAGAACATGTCGGAGCACCTGGAGGAAACCCACGCTGACACGGGGAGAACATGTCGGAGCACCTGGAGGAAACCCACGCTGACACGGGGAGAACATGTCGGAGCACCTGGAGGAAACCCACGCTGACACGGGGAGAACATGTCGGAGCACCTGGAGGAAACCCACGCTGACACGGGGAGAACATGTCAGAGCACCTGGAGGAAACCCACGCTGACACGGGGAGAACATGTCAGAGCACCTGGAGGAAACCCACGCTGACACGGGGAGAACATGTCGGAGCACCTGGAGGAAACCCACGCTGACACGGGGAGAACATGTCGGAGCACCTGGAGGAAACCCACGCTGACACGGGGAGAACATGTCAGAGCACCTGGAGGAAACCCACGCTGACACGGGGAGAACATGTCAGAGCACCTGGAGGAAACCCACGCTGACACGGGGAGAACATGTCAGAGCACCTGGAGGAAACCCACGCTGACACGGGGAGAACATGTCAGAGCACCTGGAGGAAACCCACGCTGACACGGGGAGAACATGTCAGAGCACCTGGAGGAAACCCACGCTGACACGGGGAGAACATGTCAGAGCACCTGGAGGAAACCCACGCTGACACGGGGAGAACATGTCAGAGCACCTGGAGGAAACCCACGCTGACACAGGGAGAACATGTCAGAGCACCTGGAGGAAACCCACGCTGACACAGGGAGAACATGTCAGAGCACCTGGAGGAAACCCACGCTGACACAGGGAGAACATGTCAGAGCACCTGGAGGAAACCCACGCTGACACAGGGAGAACATGTCAGAGCACCTGGAGGAAACCCACGCTGACACAGGGAGAACATGTCAGAGCACCTGGAGGAAACCCACGCTGACACAGGGAGAACATGTAACATCATGCAAACACATGCAAACATGCAAACTGCACACACAAGCCCCCTCCCCCCCGGCGTTGAACCAGGAGCCCTCTTGCTGTGAGGTGACGATGCGAACCACTGCACCACCGTGCCGTCTAACCCAAAGAGTAACAAAACACTGAACAACTGTTGCATTGTTTGCACTTCCGTTTTTGCACAACAGTGTTTATGCACTAAAATAAACAGTTTTATATTTTATCACACACTGGTGACCATTAAAAATAAACCCATTGTCCCAATATGAGGGCATTAATTCTTTTCAAAAACTACTCACTGTTAGTTTTTTATACTTGTCAGGTCCTTTTCATCCCAAATCGCCAGGAGAAATAAAAAACAATACCAAACAAAAGCTCCGGTCTCTGGAGGTTAAGCCACATTTTTATGATACATATTTTTTCATTGTTTTCATCTTAAAATGGCTGAAGGAATTTAGTCTTTGGACGTCTGGATCTTAATTTATCAGAGAAACAAGCTGAGCAAACGTCAGCGGCAGCTCGGCTCCAGCCCCTGCTATGCTGAACCACATTGGAGAAACACTGATTTTTAACACGAAACCTTTTTATTCAGTGTTTTCCACCGGGTTAAATCACTGGACGTGTTTGTTTTGGAGAGGAAGAGACCTCTGTGGATAATTCAGCTCCTGTTAAAAACCTCCTGAACATCTGGATCTTGAGTTATCAGAGAAAAAGCTGAGCACACATCAGCAGGAGCTGAACAAGCTTCAGAAAAACGCTTTTTTTCTTTTTTTTACTGTGAAGCTGTTTTATTCTGAAGATGTGAACAATCAGTAGATACCTGCTGCACAGGCTGTGTGTTGATGACTCTCTGTGCATCAGAACAGTGGAAACTGGAGATCCAACATACAGTATGGAGTCCTGCGGCTGATGTGTTTAAATTCATCCGCAGTGAAACCTGTTCTTTCTAAGTGGCTCTGAGTGAGAAACATAACGACAACATTGAGGGAACGTTTGTTTCCACAGTTTTTATGAGCTGTTCATCAGCTTGTGTAAAACATTTTTGACTCTAAATGACCTGTTGCCCCAAACGTTAGTCAGCCATCATGAGGAGCAGTCCTCTGCACACATCAGACTGTCTGCTGCTTATTAACTTCCTGTTTTTGTTGTTATCTGTGTGACTTCCTGTCTGATGCCAACGTCTCTGACAGTGCAGTGGTTTCCTGTTCGCACCTTTAGCGTCTATTTTACAGGTCTGATGTGATATGATGTTCTGGTAGGTGAGCGGAGGCCGGATGCTGCAACTGGTGGTTGTGACAGAAGTTACTAACTGTTTAAAATATACATGTTCATGACATGTGTGTACCCAGTGTCTCAGTGGGTGGAGCAGGCGTCCCCAGCAGCCGTGGGCTCAATACCAGCCTGCAGGCCCCTGCTGCATGTCATCCCCCTCTTTCTTCCCTCTCACACTCAGCACTGTCCTATCAATTAAATGTGCTTTCCTTTAATTGCCCCCACAAAAAATAAATATCATGAAATGATAAAAAGGCTGAGGAAAACTGGAAACACTTTCTGAGGAAGCGCTGGGTGAGCTCACTTTAGCAGAAAGACAGCAGGGAGACCAGAAATGTTTCCCTCACCAGCTCCAGCCTCAGGCCTCCTGTGGACGGGTCTAATTAGTGAAACACAGTTCACCTGTGTGGGCAGCAGTGTGTCGACTCAACAATATCAGGACAGAGTTTCGGTGGCGGTGCCACATCAGATCTTTTAAACTGCTGCAGTCTGTGTATGTTCACGTGATGTTTTTATCACTCGCTGAAAACTTTAAGATTAAAACACTTTGATGAACTTACATGTTGTCTCCTTCTCTGTGTGTCTGCAGGATTATCTGGGTTGTATCATCGACTGCGGCTCTCTGCCTCTGAAACCGGAGCAGGTCAGCACGTTGTTCTGCAACATCGAGGACATCTACGAGTTCAACAGGTAACTCACTCACTCCACAATTCATAATATATTAAAAGATAAATAACAATTCATATAGATATATGTAATATAAATACAGATATAAACAAATGAAAGAATAAACAAATACAGAAACAAAATAAATTAATTCATAAATAAATGCATAAATAAATAAATATAAAAACGGACAAATAAATACTGAAACACATGAATGCATGTATAAATAAATGCATAAGTAAATAATAAATAAATATATCAATAATAAATTAGTGACTAAAAGCATAAACAAATACAAAAATAAATGAATAAAAGAACAAAGAAATACAGAAGTAAATAAAAAAAAGATTAAATAAATAGAAGAACAAATATACTAATAATAACTATGTAAATAAATTAATTAATAAGTGAATAAATAAATACATAAAAGGACAAATAAATACATGAATAATTAAGTCAATATATAAATGAATGCACAAATAAATAATACATACTGAAATAAATAAATGCATGAATAAATAAACAAATGTATAAATTAATGCACAAATAAATGATGAATAAATATATAAATAATAAATTAATGAGTAACTTAAAGCAGAAATAAACAAATACAGAAATTAACAAATAAAAGAACAAATAAACATATAGATAAATAAATGCATTTTTTTTTTAAATGAAATGAAAATATTGTAAGGATTACAACCCTTACAATATTTTAAATGAAATGAAAATAATGGAATAAAAGAAAAATAAAATAATACAAGAAAAAAAAAATACCTGTACAAATATGTCAATCGATAAATAACATTATTATTTCTGCGTTTTTGGACTGTTTTTCTGTGTCTGACTGTTAATGAATGTCAAAGAGGTCAAAATCTCTTTCTGATTGTCTATTTGTTTATTTACGCATTTATTTATTTATTTACTTACTGATAAGTCATTTTTCGTCCTACATAGCTCAGGAGGTATAATGAGTCGATCAACGGAGTTGGCGGCTCGACCCGTCATGTCCACAACTCAAAGCGTCCTGAGGACAAACACTGAACCTTGTGTTGAAGCCGTCAGTGTGCGAATGAGAAGCCACTCGCTTTAGATAGAAAAGTGTTTTCTAAGTGTGGTCCATTTACTTTTTTGTGACCCCTGTGGAAATGAGCAGATGATGAAATCAACTGGAGGTGAAATCTCAGGATTCAGTTTAAATTCTTGGTGTCGCAGTTTGATTAAGAACTGACTCTGACTCTGATTCATTCACTGGCCTTAAAACATGAAAATACAGCTAGTCCTAATAGACATCTCTGTTTGACACCACAAATAACATGCAGCTTTTTTATTTGACAAATTTAACTGAAGTAATGGAAATACTGTGACAGTCGTCTGCTTGCTGTTGAATAATGAAATGAAAATGGTCTTTAATGACTCGACGCTGCAGCACCAGGAAATCCATCGTTATCCACCAAGCTGTTTGGACTTGAATGAAAGTTTTGTAAAGTGCTACAGCTTCGCTAACGCCACCCCTTAAGTGTAAGTCACATGGAGCAGTAAAGCATAATGTGTTAGACTCAAATAAAATATACGTACTTCAAAACTGTAGTCGATTACAGTACATGCACATCTCCACGTGTGTTCATGCAACGACTGTCCAGAAAGTGCTGACGAGAAGAAGTTGAGTTAACTGTTAACAGTCTGAGACGTTTTGGTTTGTGATGGACGTCAGCGATGCGTTTCATCGCAGCAGCATGAACAGGAAGTGCATGTTTTGACACGGAGCATTAGCTGCCATTTCATTAACTGTGAAAAATGTGTTCCACTGTTGAAACAAGAGAGTGATGCAGGAGATTCTTCGGTGGCTTTGAGTTTCTGGAAAGTATCTTGTGGGTAACACATAGACAGACAGAGATAAGCCGGTAGTGGAAACATTCAGAGGCAGAAATGAACAGAGCAAGGCACTGACGCTGCCAGGGCTGCGGGTTTGATTCCCACCGGGACGATCCCACCATGAAAAAGTGCTCTGCTGGGGCTTTTTGGGGGGATGGAAGCGTGCAGCAGCTGTTGAGCTCATATGACCGAACCAGATTCTTCAGGTTTTATAGAGAGAGTGAGAGAGTGCCTGTTTCTGTGTCACGGCAGTTTGAGCAGCCGTCCCTCCTGGTATGTCCACATGTAGCCAAACAGCCGGGCCGTCTGCTGCAATGCATCATGGATGATTTTACAGTCCACATTCTGCAGTTCAGAGTTTTCTGCATCACTGCCGTCTGTCGGTCGCTGAGCAGACTGAGACGTTCCTGTGGAGGTCATGATAAATGATTCCACTGAGTGTTTCCGTCTGCGCTGCTTTTAATGTCTGAGGAAGGTTTTGTTGATTTATCAGGCGACGTTTGAATTTCACTCTGGGGATTACGAGGAACCTCTACTTTTCAGGGGTGGAATGGTACACATGTGCACGCATGAATGTGCTCGCCAAAGTGCAAAAATATACCATCAGTACATGACAATAAAAACACCAACACGCAGTGGACATGCAGCGGTTTGTGTAAAGTCCAGTTCAGACCAAAGATTTGCAAGGAAGTACAGAGAGTCGTTGACTAGAGATGATGCGCCGTCTCGTGGCGGTCACTTCCTGTCAGCGTTACAGATCAGAAGCACAGAGAGTCGTCGACTAGAGATGATACGCCGTCTCGTGGCGGTCACTTCCTGTCAGCGTTACAGATCAGAAGCACAGAGAGTCGTCGACTAGAGATGATACGCCGTTGGAGGATCAACCTAATTGCCAGAAAAAAAATGTGGGCTTTCTACATTTTATGCAAACTATGGATACTTGGTTATGTTTTGAAATGTTCATGTTTTGGTTTTGGTGGCTTTAAAGGTGATGGAAAATCAGCAATGTTTTTGTAAAAACAACCAGTTATTTGTTGTTTATTGTTTGTTTTGGTCTTGAACAGTGGTCTGCAGCTTTGCATGTGACAGCTTATATACAACATCACTTTAGAAACGTTGATATGACACTTCTAACATGTACAAATGTGAAATATTCTTGGTTTTCAGAAACATACAGTGCCAACGTATCCTTATAGTACGGTTCGTATGTTATTCCACAAAGTAGCGGGTGGTGCACTGAGAGCCTGGGAAGGAAGCTGTTAAAATATGTCTCACACACACACACACACACACACACACACACACACACACACACATAACCCTCCACCCCGCTGAGAGTCCTATTTTCACACTTCACTTTCTTTGTGTTTGTTCCGACACGTACACACACACACACACACACACACACACACATTGAAGAACAATGTCACGAGCACACACACTCAAACACTAACAGTCAAACACAGTTTTCATTCCATCCAGGCTTCCTGCCCCTGGTTCTCATGGGAAATACAGTATGAGAGGGAGTGAGACAGAGAGAGCACTGCTGACCTTCTCCTCCTCCTCCTCCTCCTCCTCCTCCTCCTCCCTCTCTGCAGTCAGTTACACTAATTACATTTTAGTTAATGAAGTTAATGAGTTTTATTAAGGAAATCCCCTCAAACTTTATTCATGTCTGCTGCCCAGCTTCACTTCCACGGCAGGGTTCAGTTTGACTCGGAGCGACTCACTGTTGGCGCCAGGTGCTTTTTTCTGTGTTGTTTTACACTGTGGATAATATATCTCCTCAGTGTGGGCGGGACTCTTAGCTGGTCGCCATAGTGACGCTGTGGGAAACTGCAGTAACATCATCTTCAACGCATACATACGTAGTGTACAGTTGAGTCTACGTGCTGTACAGTGTCATGAACACAGTGTACCACGTAGTGTGTGGTGTAGATTGCGGCTGATGTTTTAACTCCACCCAGAACCTCGAGTGACATGGTATCAAAAGAAGTAGCAGGTACTGTCCACAACTTCTGGTCATTGAAAAATAAAACTGAGTAGAGTCGAGTAGAGTCGAGTAGAGTCGGCGTGTACCATGCAGTGGAAATGAGGAATCTGTGTCTCTCAGGGTTGTCCAGAGTTTCTGACCTGGTTTCTCTCTGTCTCTTTCTTTGTCTGAGAAAGGAGAGAAAATAAGAAAACCCCCTTCTTCCCTTGTCCTGAGTCACACACACGCACACGCACACGCACACACATGCACACACACGCACACACACGCACACACAGAACCAGATGGGCAGACATAACAAGCCCAGAGTGGCTACATCATCCAGCATAGCTCAGGCATGACACCATTCAGCAGTGTGTGTGTGTGTATCGGTGTACCTACGTGTGTGTGTGCGTGTTACAGTAGGGAATAAAGCCATGTGTGAATAATGAAGTTTATTAACAACAATAACCAAACTGAGCGTGCTCAGTAATCACTGATTTAAATGGTTATAATGATGAACAGCTGGTTATCAGATAAACTGAAAACGTCCTTCTGCTCCGTCTCACAGGGAAATATTTTACTTTTACTGCACCACGTTTATTTAATGTTACTTTACAGATTCAGATTATTATAAGAAATATAAACAACTAATAATAACGATGATGTATTAGTAAAGATTAAATCACCCAGCAGTATGAAAATCATTAAAATGAGCTCCACCTTCACCAGCTGCAACATTAAAGTGACAAACACATTATAATCCAAATATCCAAATATATTATTCTGCATATGAGTACTTTTACTTTGTGTACTTTAAGTATACTTATATGTGGTTTGGGGGTATATGTACTAACACACACACACATTATGTTCATTCACACAGAGTGACGTCAGACACACTCGAACCACAAGATCATCATCAGCGCTGTTTTCCCATGGTGCACTGGGCCAAGACCCAGCAGCTGAGTCACACTGATGATTGATGAGCTGTGATCGGTGATGTCAGACACTAATATATTGATGAGTGTGTATGTGTGCATGTATTTGTAACAAAGTGAGGACCAAAAAACATATTTTAGCAGCAGAGTGAGGACGTATTTGGAAAGTGAGGACATTTCTCACTTCTTCAACGGCCTGTTTGAGGGTGAAGACTTGGTTTTAGGATTAGGGTATG